AAATAATAAATATTGTATTGTCTTTATGATTTGTGCCTTTGAAACTCATCAGTGGTCACACCAATGCTTAAACTGGTAATTTTGGTTGGTAATTTTCTAATGTATGACTTTTATCTGCCAATTTAATTCAACTTTTACAAGTTGTTTTATTATAGTTTTCAAAAAAGAATAGCCCGTGGCTTGTTAATGCCCGTAATAACTAGTAATAACAATACATACAATTAACACATTATTGTCATGTATATTGCATTATTATTTAAAAACTTTTTTCTTTCAGTTGTTGTAATGCCTGAATGCTGGACAATGAAACAACCCACAGCAGTCATGTGCTTCACTACAACTCAACACTGGACTGTGTAATTGTGGGTAATTACTAATTAGCCTAGATCATATTTTACGTGTTTGATATCCCATTGCATAAATACAAAGTTATAAGAAAGTTATGTTAAGTAAGAAGTTAAGATTTTATTTTACTAATTTTTTGAAAATGATGAATCTCATTTGAATATGTTTGACCAAATAAACAAATTTATGTTGATATGACTAAGAGTGTTTATTCTGATATTTTCTTTGTTATTTGATACACATGTAGGTATATCAGGCATATATAAGGCATCCGTCAATTAATTAGAGAGTCAGGACTCAGAATCAGCCAAACTAGTCATGGGCTGCTTTTTTATTTTATAAATTGGAATCATTTTTGTCCATGATTTTCAAGTGAAAAAACCTTGCCATGTTTGCACATATGTGTACAAGTAAAGTAGAACATATTGTACTGCAGTCTAGTCTAGTGTAAGCTGTCCTAATTTTTTTTACTACTAGGTTTGCTGTCTAGCTGTCTGTAACAGTCATGAAATTGCAGATTTAATGCACCATGAGAATATATAATGCATTTGTATTTTACAGTAAACTTATATTTGCAAGTGCAACATATAATTTTGTAAAACAGGAAATGTCATACTTAAAACAGCTCTAATCAAGACAAGAATTCATGTTTATTTGTAAACACTACTGTTATTTGAAGAATGTGTAAACTGTCCAAACTGTGTCAAACTGTTATACAGGTAAATAATGTTAAAGGTTCCCCAGGTATTAAAAGGTTTTGCAATATAAACAATGTATATGTACATATAAATCTAGTATATAAAGATATCACTCTCAAACTTTAAGTAAAATAACATTATATTCAAATCTGTGCAATTACAAAAATATATACCTGAATGCAATACATGAATATTCTGCTAAATTTATATGACAGATGATCTTGCTCAGATGATATATATGAACATTTACTCCTTTTTTACAGGCGGTTATTATTATTAAGCCCTGTGTTATATAACGTGTATTAAATCAATGAAAATATGTAAGCGAGAAAATAAGTTTCAGTAGTTAGAAATAGTCAGAAGTCAATACAAAAATTTTGAATAACATATTAGTATAACATGAAGCATTAGGTACAAATATATGTAAATTTATGCAATGGTATATCTATGGCTTACAGATATATGGGTATTTACAAGTAAAGCCATGTTATGCAAGTAAATATAAAGAAAGATGTTCATGTGTGTAACGAATACTGAAGTAAAGTGCAATTCTCTAAACAATCATGGTATTTGAGGCAATTCATTATTGCTTTGTACTGTTATTCACATAAGTGTGCCATTGGCTACTATAGTACATTTTACCCAAGTTCTAGCATTTTCTATATTTTGCTTCAAATGATGACATTTGACCTATATTTGAACATTTTGGTATTTCTTTTGGGTGAAAATACACTTAACAAGTACTTTGTAAAAATTATTTGGTATGGGAACATGCTAATTGGCATTTAGGAAGTTTTTTGTATTGCAAATGTAGTATTGTTTTATTTTTTGCTTTATACAGGTTTCAAATAGCTCATGAACATTTGTATGAAAGGTGCTATGTTTTGTGTGTACATTTGAGCCCAAAAGAATCAACTGCTTTTTTATTTTGCATTAATGATATATGAATCTGTATACTATTCAGTATTCACAAAGATTTTACAAATACTGAAATATGTAACTTTTTACCAGTTTCACTGCAGTATATCACAATATATAATGATAACATTCCATGAAATAAAGCTTAGCAAAGACATGGAAATCATGATCTTTTGATAAATATATATAACTTTGTATATGAACTAAGCAAATACTTTATTCTGTTATAATATCCATGTAGGATAGCATTTCAGTATTGTACGCATACATAGATAGAGAAATATTTTTGAATTTGAATCCCCTTGCTTTCTTAGTGCACAATATGCTGATAATATGAAATGCTAGTTTAGTCTTCACACTACTGCACTAGCCCCAGTGCTACATGTCTATGTCAAGAAAACATTAACTTTTTGATGGAAAGAGTAGCCCTTGGTGTCCAAATCGATTGTTTTGTCGTTATTATTTGGTTCAGTTCTTGGTCTCTAGCCTTTACCCACTCTGTGGTGTACATGACTCCCAGTCAGTTTTGACTTTTCTACTTTCTGTTCACCCATGGACTACCACCATCTGGAACCCATGGTTCACCTGAAAACTCTACATATAGAACTTTTTTATAGTGTACGATAACCGTTTTCAAAACACTAATTGAAGAATAACAATATATCATTTGACAATTTTAGTCTTTTGATGGTATGACATGTACGAAGCGGATAATGACAAAAACATTCTAAAAAAATTCTTGAAAAATTGAAATAATCAATCATGGACGATTTTTACACGATTCACGAACCTAGGCATTCGTCTGGTGCTGGAATAGAAGTTATAAACATTATATTTAGTAATTATAACCTCGAAAAATTGAATACGACTCTGTTTATGTTAGTATCAAAGAAAATATATTCTGAATTGGACTTTTCGAAAAATTATTTCGGCCGCCATCTTGTTTTTTTCGATAAATCTACAAAACTGAAAAAGAAAAAGTGTATCTTCATCGGGCCACTCAAGGCTCACTTGTGGTTTTACGTTATTTGGAAACATGACATTAATGGCAATCGTTTAGTTAAAAAATAAAACCGGGGCAGAGTCGGCGTTTAGTCAAAATCTACGAAAAAGGGAAGATCAATTTTTCGAAAAAAAATTCAATCGGCAAGTTATACTCGATATAATTGATCAATTTCCACGAATTCGGTCTTAAAATGTTCTTCAATAAGTTCGCCAGACGTAGGTTACGAGTACTTTGATAGTTGGAGAGTATTTCGGGATGAAAATAGCCTAAATGTTTCAGCCGAAAGAAGATGCGCAGAAAACCTGCGCAGAAAACAAATATTGGTCTTTTTCACCCAGTGGCTCCCTGCCTGCTAATAAAAATAATGTAGCTTGTGCAAACACGTGTTTTGTATGGATATCGCCCCCCCCCCCCCCCCCCCGACGGAAAGCTGGCTACACCGCTGAACTTGTTATCTCTACTCAAATGCAACCTAATTCTTCCTGAGAAGGTATTATAATTTAACAACCTGTTAACACCGTTTGTATTAAATCTTGGAATATGCATGGGAATTCAATTTTTACTTTTTCAAATTGCCGCTTTGATTGTTTCCAATTCCTCATGATCAAAGCAAAAGAAAGTCTAGACTCTTTTGGTCATGTTTACGATTTCAATTATAATCCACAAATCAATTCAGAATCATAAAATATAAATCACTGGAGCAACGTCTAACAGCTTTTAATCTGCTTAATAAGTTATCAAAACACATTCTTGCCTTTGAATTAAAGCCCATGTTAAATTTCTCCCGGTAAAGTCGATTTAAAATCGAAAGAAGATTTTATTGTGTTTATGTTTCAATCAGTGTTGATTTCATTGTCTTATATAACTCATTTACATGAGTTTTCTATTCTCGATGCTTGGTCATAGTTTGCCCGGATAGTTTGTTTATAATAAATTGATTTAGTTTAAATAGAAAATAAAGATAGTATTCTAATTTGAATTTTACAAACTGGGTATCAAAAAGCCGGCTTTTAACTTCAGTTTGAAACTGGCTTTTTTTAATCCTGCTTTTTCAGAAATATATATTGTAAATGCGGTTGCCTTCGTGTACTTTTCTATGTTTCGGTGCAGTTTTGTGAATTAAAATATCATTTTTTGATAATTTGATAATATGAGAATGAAGAGACAAAACCCGGGAATCAACAGTTATACAGGTTACATTCCGTCTCATTATCTATGTCATGATCATTATAACATGAGACTAACAGACTAGCCCAGCAGAGTCTTTGCTTTCCTTACGGACACTAGCTCCTCCTTTTTCTATCCCAGATCCACCTGGAGCATGTTTTGTAAGGTACTGTTTATCTATTTCCCTCAGTATATACCCCACAGGCCCGTAGCCAGGATTTGCCAAGGGGGGGGGGGTTCAATTTTCAAAAATTTCCAGGGGGGGTTCACATTTGACAATTTTGGCCCAAATTAGGCTAAAATCACTAGACAAGTGCTCAAAATGGTAAAAAACTGCATGATTTTGAAAGAATTTTTGGCCAGGGGGGGGGGGGGGGTTCGCCCGAACCCTGCGAACCCCCCCCCCTGGCTACGGGCCTGCCCCATATCCAAAACCTCCCATAACACAACCCTCATCATGAACTAACCATGAAAATGTGTTTCAAAATGTTGAATACATCCATTTGGTTGTAATATGCAGATATGTGGGTCACTCGAATCACCGTAAAATCAATATCGAAACGTCAAACATTACATTGAAATTTCGTTGAAAGTTCGTATATACTATTCACACTCGTTTAATTGTCTGTATCTCATTTAGATACTGCTAAGGATATACTTAAGTCAATTTGAAGTGGATTGCATATTTGACTCCTGCGTCTCCTGCGAAAATACATTTGAAACCCTTTCATCATATTACAAAATGTATAGCAAAATAACAAATAGAATAAAATATGGATGTTTTGGCCCACCTTGTAATTTATTGTTAATGGTGTTTTACACCAGTACTCTTTTTAGTCTAGTTCAACAAAACAATGGCGAAAGCAATTATTGAAGTAGAGAAGGTAAACAGAATTGTAAGACAGATCCGGGACGACTATGGGGAAGATTGTGATTTTGTTAAGCAGTTTGACATCCTGATACAGAGCTATTCAGAGGATAAAGTCATAAGTGAAGAAGGAGTGCAAGTATGCAACGGCATTTTCGATGATAGGATTGGAAAACTATGGGGCATCAACAAAATCATCGCTGAAAATCCCGAGATATTGGAGGTAAGTTCATAGACAGATATACGTGCTCAATAGTTAAAGGCCTCCTCCTCACATGTGAACGAATCCACTAAATCTAGCCTTGTGTATATAGAGTAAATTCAGGCAATAAACATGGAACCGAAGAGCAACTTTACGCGTGCTTCCGAAGCCATCCGAAGCTTTCTGAAAGAATACTTCCACAAACGAACACCAAAACGATGTACATTTACTTATGGGAACGAATTTTACTAAGTCCTATTTTTCAGTACACGCAAGTTTACGGTTCGTTCATATGTGAGGGGCCTTTATCTATAAGATAAGTCTTGTCATGTGATTTAACTCAAGTCTGTAAAATAACCCAATGGCGGATACAGGAGGGGGTCATGTACTGTAAGGCCTCAAAATGGGCCTTTTGGCATAACTTGGCCTTTTTGGGCTTATTAGGCCAAATTTTCAAATGGGCCTTAAATTTTCAAAATTTGGGCCCAATTTTGGGTTTTAAGGGTCCAAAATCTTTTTCCAAGAAATGTGCCCCTAGCTTCTTCATCCGCCAGTGTGAACATACCATGTTCAGAACTATAAAGGAAGCATAAATTCTAGTTTTATTTGACCTTAGGTTCCCATTAAAACTCCACTATTTGTCACTGGTAACATTAGAACTGGGTCGACATATATGCATCGCTTACTATCCTTGGACTGAGCTGTTTTCACCACCTGTATGGCAGTTAGAAAACCCTCTACCTCCGCCAGTTAGCTTCGAAGAAGACAGAGCGAAGGCATTTCAACCCATTGCTGGTACGTTTACGGTATATGCTCTTTTATTTCTTTATAGTTTTATGCTTATTCTTCGTTCTCTGTGACACTACCAATTTAATATTAGGCATAGGCTAAAATAATTTATATGGCACATTAATAGCGCATTACTTGTCACCTCGGAACCTCGAAGGTACGATTTTCATTTTTTCTTCTTAGGCAAAACACATTTTTATCACAAACGTGTGTCGGAATCACATTTTTAAGAAATTGAAAGAAATATCGTAACATCGAAGTTCCGACATTTGGTTACCGACAGACCCGTTTCGGTTATTAGTTTAAACAGTGCAACGGTACCAGTTCTACTGTTATAATTAGTACCCCACACATAATTTTGTCGCCAACTTCAATTTAAGATTAAAGTACTTTCCTACGTACATATCTTCATGAAATTTAGCATACTTAAACGTGAACATATTTCCAACACTCAAATTTTTTTATTTTACAAACGGATACCAGGTGTTCACTTGAGACTGACAGCAAACTTCTACATTGTTTTACATTTTCCCGCTTATTTTGCACTTTTGACCTCTTTCGGTACTGGTTTAAGAAAACTGTTTTGAATTAAATCTGTTCAGTTGAAGTGTAACAATGAAAGGGAAAAAGGGTTTTCCAAAGGGGAACAAAACCCCTCTTCTATTTACTTCAAAGGGAGGAATGTTGAAAAAATATTGTGGTAAAGTGTACAAGAACGTATACACCAAGAAGGCGAAGTTCAATTTTAGAACAGTTAGACCAAGGCAGATCCAAAACCAATGTTGCTGGAAACCATGGAATAAATATCAGAACTGTTCAGCGGATTGCATCTACTAACCAGAACTCACCTCAGCAACGGGGTCCAAAATTGAAGATTGTACCAAATTCAGAAGTTGAAGATGTCTTATTTGACATCGCAGATCATGAGCCATTCGCACGGATAACGGAGATTAATGAGAAATTTTCCCTTGAAACAGATGTTGTCCTCTACCAAGAGGGGCTTTTTTGGTATGGGACAGGCTTGGACGATCTGGAAGAGCACATAACCCATGTAAACAGCACTATAACCCACAAATTAAAGCAAAATTAGAGAAGCAGGGATAAACGTGGTAATGCTCCCCCCTAAAGGTCATCTTCTCAACCCTTCCGAATTGTTTAACAATTGTATCCAGCAAAAGGTAGTACGTTGGCGACCGCCAGGTGACCCCACCGATGAGTACGGCCATGCAATCGTTGGGCCACGGTCGTTTGATGAGTGTGCTATGGCAGTGAATGATGCCCTGGATGAAATGAAGGATAAACCTGAAATGTTTCACGAGTTTTTTAATAAAAGAGCAACTGGAAGGGACTTTCTGAATCGTGTTGCAAAAAGCTCTGTGGCAAAGAATGTAAAGGCTCGAAGGTCCAGGGCTGGCATTGCCAATCGCCAAATATTCTCATGGCCAGCACGTCGCAATTAAGAGTTGAACCCGTGGGCGGATTTATTAGAGTTTAAAGCTAATATGAACTGAATTTGCAAAATACAAACTGGAATTTTCATTATAGAATAACTTCAAATATAGCCATGTTCAGCTAAACAGTAGTAAAAGTACATTTACTTCGCTAATGTAATATACAACATGCAAAACTAAAACATTCAAGAATACAGTTAAAAATGCTAAAATAGCCTAATTTGAGGCAATTTTGCAAAATGATACTGCATTTTGAAAATGTTGTTAAAAAATAAATAATAAGTTTTATGTTAAATAAAAAAATTTGAGTGTTGGAAATATGTTCAAGTTTAAGTATGCTAAATTTCATGAAGATATGTATGTAGGAAAGCACTGAAATCATAAATTGAAGTTGGCGACAAAATTATGTGTGGGGTACTATAGATATTTGGAACAACGTCCCTTCATTTGTTGCTCTTCATGGCGCATTCACTCCTATGTCAATTGAGGAAGATTTTTGGATATTTTTTCGAAGTGGATTGTGGAAGGATGGAAGCTACGGAAGGATGAATACGGGTTCCTATAATGATTGGTATTGAAAGTAATTTTTATGTTTTCATTTTGCAATATCCATGCGACAATTTACGTTGGGTCATACATGTCCTACTTATAGGTGTTATCCGTGAAAATGACCAAGAGAGCAAGAACATAGGTTGAATTTGATGTGTCTACCTCTCAGTTCATGGAATATAAATAAATGAAGTTTCCATATGGGAGTATTAAATTCATATTTTTCTTAGCCACTAAACACAAGGTTTTAGTTTATAACTAGATTTGTAAATTGAACAAAGTTCAATTTAAGACTCCAGATTGATTTACTTGAGTAAAGAGCTGAGTAAGTAACTGAGTAGGAAGCTGAGTAAGTAGATGATTAAGTAATTGAGTAAGTAGCTGAGTAGGTAGCTGAGTAAGCAGCTGAGCAGGTAGCTGAGTAAGTAGCTGAGTAGGTAGCGGAGTAAGTAGCTGAGTAGGTAGCTGAGTAGGTAGCTAAGTAGGTAGCCGAGTAGGTAAGTAGGTAGGTAAGAAGGAATTTTTGACCGGAAGTCAGATTGAAATTTGGTTTGCAGATTTGGATTCCTGAGAAAATTCTACCCTTAATTCATAACTCATTTTATTTTGACCTACTTTACGGACACCATATCTCAAAAGTGGGTCAAAATACTCTCTGACGGCAAAAGGCTAACACTATAAGCACACTGTTTGCTACCTGTATACAAAATTTTGAAGCAAATCCTAAAAGTGTAGTGCCAGAATCGCAAAAATAAGGAAAAACTATGAATTTGACCTAGATTTTGACCTAGGCATTTTGGTGTCCAAATATTGAAACTAGGTAGCTTTTGAGGTCCCCTTCTTTTATAGGAATTCATTATCTTAAGCTGTACTCAATCTATATCTCGTATTTTACACTTCAAAAAAATCTTTTTTCCTTGACTTTCTATCAGGATAACATCAGATCGATTTTTCTCGAAATTTCAAAACGCCATAACTTTCAAACCGGAAGTCGGATCGAAATTTAATTTAAAGATTCGGATTCCTGACAAAATTCTACCCCTTATTCATAACTCATACGTTAAATTTGGCGAATTTTTATTTTGACCTACTTTTGGACACGCCATAACTTTGGAACCGGAAGTCGGATCGAAATTTGATTTGCAGATTCGGATTCCTGAGAAAATTCTACTCTTAATTCATAACTCATATGTAAAATTTGGAGAATTTTTTATTTTGACCTACTTTTCGGACACCATATCTCAAAAGTGGGTCAAAATACTCTTTGACGGCAAAAGGCTTACACTATTAGCCCACTCTTTGCTACCTGTATACAAAATTTTGAAGCAAATCCTAAAAGTGTAGTGCCAGAATCGCAAAAATAAGGAAAAACTATGAATTTGACCTAGATTTTGACCTAGGCATTTTGGTGTCCAAATATTGAAACTAGGTAGCTTTTGAGGTCCCCTTCTTTTATAGGAATTCATTATCTTAAGCTGTACTCAATCTATATCTCGTATTTTACACTTCAAAAAAATCTTTTTTCCTTGACTTTCTATCAGGATATCAACAGATCGATTTTTCTCAAAATTTTCAAAACGCCATAACTTTCGAACCGGATGTCGGATCGGAATCTACACTTCTACACTTATTTCATAGCTCATATGTTAAATTTGGTTAACTTTTTAGTTTGACCTACATTTCGGACACCATATCTCAAAAGTGGGTCAAAATACTTTCTGACGGCAAAAGGCTATCACTATAAGCACACTCTTTGCTACCTGTATACAAAATTTTGAAGCAAATTATTTAAGTGTAGTGTCAGAATCATAAAAATAAGAAAATGCTATAAATTTGACCTAGATTTTGACCTAGGCATTTTGCTGTCCAAATTTTAAAGCTAGATAGCCTTCGAGGTCCCCTTCTTTTATAGGCTTTCATTATGTTAAGCTGTACTCAGTCTATATCTCATATTTTACACTTCGAAGAAGTCTTTTTCCCCATTGACTTAACATGGGGCACCAAATTTAGCGATTTTGAGATTTCAAAATGCTATAACTTCTGAACCGGTAGTCGGATCGAAATTTTGTTTGCAGATTCGGATTCCTGAGATAATTCTACACTTATTTGATAATTCACACGTTGAATTTGGAGAACTTTTTATGTTCTGACCTACTTTTCGGACGTCATTTCTCAAAATCGGTAAAAGTAATCAAAAAACGATTTGCCTTACGGAATTAGCTTTAGAACATGATGAAAAAAAACCGGAGCAAAAATACCGAAGGACGACTGAGAAAACTTGTAAAATAGTGAAAACCCACGATTTGACCTAGTTCTTGACCTTTGACCTAGATAAACATTTGACCTAATTTCCCAGAAACTAGGTTTCATTACCTAGTTGACTATGTTAGCAGATCTAAGTAAGTCCTTTTAGTTGCTGAGAAAAAGTGTTCGGAAAGAAAGAAAGAAAGAAAGAATAATAGGAAAACTGGCAAAAGCAATAGACTCCAGATTTTCATCTGGAGTCTAATAATTTACTCGTAATCTTATGTGACATGCCTGATGACCTTGATCTCGCGCCAATCACGTGTTAAAATTTGATTCTCCCATGTCAGTTTTGGTCCCCAGACTCGGAAACAGTGGCCATATAATTTAAGTGTACAAATATAAAACAAAAAAGCAAATTATGATTGGAAATTGTGACGGATTTTACACATCTGCAGGTATGAAAACATGTCTGGTGAAGAGGATTTGCGACAATACAAGCATTACAAGAAAGAACTACAACTTCTGGCATTCAACCAAGGTAATATATCAGATATAATGATGTAGAAGTCTTGTATTGAACCCTTGTGTAGCCCTTCCAACACAAGAGCTACAGAAGGAAAATGGATTGCGGAACCTGGGACTTGAAGCGAGACTACGTTGTAGGTTTTACAGTGAACCATTTATATACATAACTTCATATTTTATTTTCAGGCAAGGGGGAGAAGCCATACGTAAGGAAGGATTCATACCATATGAAGTTTATCTCTACTCTCTTACAAGTCTTCCCCGATGCAAGAATTGTCCATTTGATAAGAGATCCCGTTGCAAATCATGCTTCATCGTGTTCAATTGCTTATACCTGGGCAACTTTGATCTATGATCTAAAGGACATAGATCGACTGAAACTTGGAAAGGCAGTCGCACGATACAATTTGATAGGCATGAGGAAGTTTTTGGAATTCAGAAAGGTCTACGACGCCAACTTGGCACCAGGGGAGCGATCATTCTTTTGTGATGTGAAGTAGAGGTGTCAAGTATTAACCGGTTAACCGGTTAACCGCCGATAATGCCTTGACCGGTCTGAGTTTTTATGGGCGGTTAGTTGACCGTGTATAATTCTGTTATTTCCCGCGCTTATTTTGCATGCTAATCCGTTTGGTTTTATGGTGTCAGTTTCACGTAAGCTACTCATACATGTCATAAGTCCCATAACTCCTTACAAACATCCAATCAGCAACTTTAATCCCCGCCACATTGCTTTCCCGCACTTACTTTGCATTTTAATCTGTTTGTTTTTCAAGCGTCAGTTTCATGTGAGCTACTCATACATGTGATAGGTCCGATAATTCCTTACAAACATCCAATCAGCAACTTTAATCCCTGTCACATTGCTTTCCCGCGCTTACTTACATAGAATAGCGTAAAGCTTGACGAACGTAAAAAATAAACGCCGACATATCATTTTTCCAATTTTTTCAACTTTCAAGATCGAAGATGAAGATTTCATTTGAAATTATCAGTTCAAATTTCCCGCCGGTTAACCGACTTTAACCGGTAAAAACCCCCGGTTAACCGGTTAATGCTCAAGCGGTTAATTGACACCACTAATGTGAAGTATGAAGATCTTGTAGAATCACCACTTGGAACGATGAAGAAAATATATTCCCATTTTGACATGGAACTGAGCAGAGAGACTGTAGTTAAAGTGAATGCATATGTTGCTGAGTGTGCAAAAGATTGGAAGACCCCGAACAAACACTCACTTGAAGACTATGGTTTTGACCCAAAAGATGCGGTCGAGCTCTATAAAGACTACACGGAGTATTTTGCTTAAGAACCTTTAACTAATACAAGTCGAGTCCAGCAAGATAAAAACTACTTGCTTTTCTTTAGTTTTGACAACTAGACTAGCAGCATGCACATAATATTGGTACGAACTACCAAATTGACGGTGTATATGAGTTTTCATTTGCATATCGCGATGTTGCACATTGAAAACATAAGTCAAAATAAGAAAAGTAGAATGACACTTTTCGGAATAGAGGCGAGTCTCGAAACATGTTATTCATATAATTATCATACCAAATATGAGGGAGCTCGATCCCCTGTGGTATTCGAGTTATTCTCTGGACAGATGAAGAGGTGTTTTCAGTATTTCCCAAACAAAACCCATTCGTTTGGATAAAATTAAACTAACACTTTGAAAACAGTACATTATGGTTTGCTTTGAATATCATATTTCTAATAAATGATACATGAATTGATTGTTTGATCATGATTGTTCTACAATGTGCATTTACAAGTCACTCTCTTCTATTATCACATGTGTTAAAAGAGTTTTATGTGGTCTCTCTCTGACAATCGGGTCACATATACCAGTCTCTTCCATAGTCCCTCTGTGAGCAACATATGCCTCATCTACGTCATGGCATGATGAGGAGACCGTCATATTACCAGTGCTGGAAGATGCTTGGCTGTTTGAACTACATTCGGGCATTGGAAGGAAGGATGTCATAGGAGCATTAAAACGAGGCTCTATGACGTTGATATCATCATCATTATCCTCAACATCTTGTTCACCACACATATTTTCGGCGCTATAGCCTTGAATGACATTTCTCATGTCTAATGTATCTGATCGTACAATCCTCATGCTTGAGCTATGAGGCATAGTGAGAATGCTAGATGTTCGCTCTACCAGAGGGTCCCCAGCATCATCAGGTTCTCTCACGCCCTGTCTATGGTGTAACAGCGCAGTAATTGAACTAGCCTCACTGGCGAGGGATGATATATGACATGATTGCTGATGGCAGGGGTTGGCAATTCCTACATCTGTAAAACAGTTTGACATAGAATACATTGCTGGGCCTCGGTTAACGTTATAAATGGATCTGACGTATCGAAACAAATCTAGTTGAGAAATCTAAATTGCATTTAACAACGTGGTGATCGATCGTTCTGAAACTTTATGTATAATCATGAATTATTTCAAGCAATCACCTAGACATTAAACAGGTTTAAATCGTAACTAATGGATTCATTTATTCAAGACGCCAATATAAGTATAGCTAGTAGTATCTAATCAATCGGTTAAGTTTGTCACGTTGGGGGTTTAAAGCATCATATATCAGTAGAAAGGGTGTAGCAAGGGTGAGTTACTACTTGATGAGCAAAAGTCAGTCCGGTAATTTCAAATTACTTATGTAAAACAGTCCTAGTAATGGACTTGGCAACTTGGCCAATTACCTTCATCGATTGAGATTGATCTCTGAGGGCAACCACACATGCATTTGGTAGCACCGATACACAATTTAGCATAGCCCAGTCTATAGGGCCTAGAGAACAAGCCATATAGAATAGGATTGAGCAGACCTGTCAACATCGTACTCAATAGAGCGTACAATACAGTGGCGACATCTATTGGTGACCCAACTTTCTGCATTGTGATGATAACCTACAAAACAAGAAGATGAAATATATTAATGTATCCATAAGTTAAGAATCTAAGTGTTGAGATGCAGATACCCAATCGGCTCACAGCTAGGAATTAGAAATTCACTTTGCATCTAAAGTAATTATCCTCACTTGGCATTATTACCAAGCAAAACCCATGGCATAGATTATCTAATTGGAAATTGCAAGTATTGACAATCGAGTTAGGATGATTAAATCTTGATAATAAGATCGTTAGATCGTCCTTAGTAGCGCTATCTTCCGCATGCTTGTCCCTTAAGGCTAATCTCATTCAGATCTTGAAACAACTCTACATTGTATTGATTGCTTGCCACTCAAAACACAATTCTGACACTTAATAGTTTTAAAATGAAGATCTTATTAGACAGTTTGAATGCTATATTGTAGCATATTGAACATACAACGCAAAATGTCATTTTGTATTATTATTTAACTCATTAACCAAGGGAGGAAAACAAAAGATGAAGTAAAAATTATTTTTAGTATCCTAAAATTATTATGTACTACATTCCGCTTGTTCTTTAGATACTGTTGTTTAGGATTCAGTGCTCTCTTTCTTTTTCACTTCTTCTATATATTGTTTGTAAGAATTGAGAGAGATTACAATGATTGACACTTCAATTAACGGACGTTTAACAGCTGAAGGGTGCTTCTCTCTTCCCAGACATGCAACGTTCCATATGAATAAACATAAGAATGAGCATATCTTTATATTTAAGCTGCTTTTCAATACTTAAGTTGGTTAGTGTAATACACAAATGAATGGATAGATAATTCAACAGGCCCGTAGCCAGGGGGGTTCGCAGGGTTCGGGCGAACCCCCCCCCCCCTGGCCAAACTGAACCCCCCCCCCCCTTTGGCAAATCCTGGCTACGGGCCTCTTCAATGTTGCAATATGACTTCAATTTTTTAAACACGCTGCTTGTAGATATGATGGCACCAACATACATCCTTTCAGCTCAAGGATTGGATCCAAACCAGAGAATCCAAAATGTATTTATGCATATGATGGGAAGACCCAAATGAAAGCTCCTGTACAAGGCAATAATGATTGTGCAGGTATCTAAGACACCACAACTTACCAACGCAGGCAGCCAAGTGAGATAGAAGACAATGGTGACAATAAGAATCATAATGGTGCACTCCATGACGATCTTCTTCTCCATATAACCAGCATACAAGCCTCTGATTTGCAAGGATCGGTTGGTGGTCATCTTGTGGAGGCTCCAGAGGCACGCAGTCACCCTTGCATTGAAGCACACAACCACTAACAAGTTCCCATAACCGACTATAAGGAACATGACATAAAATGTATGCTCACGTAATCCTTCTAGCTTGGATGATTGAGATGTGGCGACAATCCATGAAGTACACAAGTGCCCCGAGTCAGATATAGTCGGTGGCCCAAGTCCCATCAAGGGTAAAGCAGCCACAACGAAAGTCAGTAAATATATGACGATAATGATGATCTTAGCCCTGTGTTTATCAGCACTAGAACTAGTCTTACAGATCAAAGCGACTCTAAGTGCCAACCAACGGTCAATACACATGAAGCTAATGAGACACATAGAGGCAAGCTGGAACCAGTTAGTCGTCAACTGATAAAACTCACACGTATGTTTCCCTCCATACCAAGTCCTTGTGAAGTAAGATATAATCCCAAACGGAGCTGGGATCACTACTGAAAGAATGTCAGTTACGCTCAAAGCAGAGATCAAAATATCTGTAACGAGTTTGTTGGATTGTTTCTTGAAACGACATGCCACGACCAGAGGAAATATATTTGCCAACACTAATGTGGATTGTACGGATATACTAAGTATCCCAGATATGTTCTCGTATGACAGATGTGGCGCCGCATTCTTAGATGATGGGTAATCTCCAAACGGCATTTTGCAAGATCAATTTTTGAAAAGTGATATGGAATCACAAGTATTATTCTGCTCGTTTTATTCTTTGATGTTACTAGTCACTGGAGTTTTCCTCCATGTTCCAGAGTTAAACTTGCTTATTATTGGGCATAACATAACATTCCTCCATTACATTGGACACAAAGTGATAGTCTTCCTTTATCCACATCTCTGTATTTAGACCTGTGCTTTTATAGCTGTTGTTACTGCGGTACTATTACAATTTCCCAATATTGTTTTAAGGTGTACAGTCTGTACATGTCGTCTTTGCTTGAACTGGACTTAAATCCCAAACCGCCTCATCAGAGTAATTTCCAGGGCATTAGTCTATTCCTATAATTGAAAGAATAAGATGTACGTCCTTTAAACGTAATTACCAAGTCGTCAAATTGATCCACAAGTAAACTTCAATTACCCTAAAAGGATTTCTTTATCATGGTAATATCTGAATTGTAGATTTAATATCCGTTGATATCTAATTCAAAAATAATTTACGTTCGGTAATTCCACTTTTGACATAGAAAGCCCTAAACATTTTTTCAATTATAAAGCAGATCCCTACGGATGGCAATTCCGGTCCTATTTGACGATTTCAATGACCATACTAACGTTGTACTTAATCAATAGAAGAGAGCTTTCGATATAAGTTTTCAGTCAAACTTATACTGCAACTTTAACTTTTAAATAATAAACCACTGGAGGAAGATTTACCAGAGAAACCAGGAAAGTATATTTCATTAGATTTGAAGGGAAGTACATTTCATTGTACATTCTTCGTTTCTGGAGTTCCTTTCCAGTGATATACCTGACTTGTACACGGTTTGCGTATTCCAAATAACTTATATTGAAAACTCTCTAGTACATCAATGTTCTATACTAAACTTCATCATTCTCAGTTTTATTACCGTTAGCACTGGCATAAACAACCCCTTTAAACTGAGGTTCCGATAGTTATCCAACTAATTCTTCGCTTTTGTACCTTTAGCATCGGCCTTACATGATGAAAACAACCCCTTGAACTGAGAGTCAGGTACATTATGAAACCATTTCTTCGCGTTTATACCTTTAGCATTGACATGACTTGATGCAAATTACCCCTTTAAACTGAGGTTCAGATACATTATCCAACCAATTCTTCGCAAATAATGTAAAATGAGATACTGAAAGAAGATCGATTGATCCAAATAATTTGAATGTCTACAACTCCATCAGTAATGAAAAATGTGGTATAAAACACAACCAACTCAATAAAATAAGTCTCACTCGATGAATAAAATGAATAATTCCGGCAAACATCGGTAATAAATATTGGCGCGTGTCAATAAAGTAGTGGCAAAGTATTGCAATTCAAATTAGTTGGAGGTAATGGTATCAGTGGTAGTTGATGCATCCTTCGTTATCGATTCATCAGTTAGGAATCTACTGTAAGGTTGGGAATCTTGGGATCTAATTTACATTCCTGTTCCTATGTAGGAATCCATGTGTAAAGATCTCAGAAAGGAAACAAAGCTGTACTTGGTTGGAGACCATGAAAAAAGCAAAAATTCAAGGCAGAAATGCAAGATTGACTGAGTTAATCAACTTTTCTTCGGTCTTGTTTTAGGCACCCATACGACTATCAAAAGACTGTGTACCATGCTGATGAAAATTCAGTTATCAACTTTGAACAAAATCGCTCTAGTTCTTTCCAGAAATGCAAGATTGACTGAGGGATGGCGGACATTTTGAAACCGGTGGAACTTTGAATTGTATGGGCATACTACTTAGTATACGTATAAGGTATAAACGATATTAGGTCAACGGTATTTGAGCTTTTGCCCGGACAGACATACGAACGTACGAAGCCGAACTCTATATCTCCCAAACTTCGATCGATGGGATAACAACACGACACATTCGAGTACGTATGATTCGCCAAACATGTCAACCAGAATGTCATCATTTAACGCTTTGCATAAACAAGCACAATCTAACATGTATCATGCTTCATATCAATTCATTGCTACTCAAACTGTGTATCAAAACCAGTCGGGATGATTAAATTGGTGATTTGCAAATATTTGCACTTCGTTCACTCGGTGAAAGTTTAGATTGTAAAATGATATTTTTCCAATATCTTATCAAATTAACTTTCTAGACTAAGATAATAATATGTTCAACAATCAAATGCAAATGGAAACTTATTTCTGGCAATATCAAGTCTACTATTTCAAATCTACTCTATAATTTCAGCTACTACCGCATTACCGATTCTAGATTAGGCAAATATTGATGTAATATATCTTGCTAAATTGACATCACTTTTCTGAATTATTTGTCTAATTTCAAGACTTGATTAAATTAGCTGGAAAAGGGGTTAATGCGGAAGCATCTGATCTGATAAATCAGCCAACTTGCTGAGATGAACGAATCCCATCCTCCATTGAGATTTCTTACCCTACTTACGATTCAGAGAAAACCATAATCTACTTCTTGACGAACAATGACTTCGTAAAATCGTAAGTTACGACGATTCCAAAAACGGATCCCTGAATCCACAAATGACCTAATCATGCAGCTACCTTTTGTCAATTACAAATGATTTTATTCTGAAAATATCTTAATGTTCTGTATTGTAGCTTTAATGAACTTATATTGAAGTTTGAATGTGAAACGAGTGATACATAGCTACTTACATGTGGTGTAGATAGAAAATGATATGTCATGAATGTGATTATGTATGAGCCATTGATCAATGAATTATCGAGATCGTACATGCTAAGGATGTGAGGCAGACAACTAATGTATCCGACGAAAAGAGGATGTAATTTGTGAGTACACATAAAATGCTGTATTGTTCAGTGACATTGATTTCTATCTTTTGTTTATGTCTAAAATAAATTTAACTTGGGCTCTCAGTGTTCTACACTCAGTCAGTTTAAACCAATAAGGGAGTTGCTATATTGCTGAATAAATAGATGTCAGCACTTGATTTTATTTTTTATGGTTGGGCAAGACTGACATAGGCATCAATGGTTAAAACTTGCAATAGTCTCTTAATTTCATGATTTATCAAAAGGTGTTGGTTGTTTTTGTCCAAAACTTGAATGGGATACTATGGGATTGTCTTGTTATATTGTATTGTGTTTAATCATGAAAATGTTGTTGTTGAACGAATAAACCAACCAAGGTTTTGAAGAAACGTTTAACATTGCATCAATGGAGATTTGGCCATGTCGTGTAAAATGATTCAAATAACATAACTGTATAAATCAATAAATCAAGTATCATGGAAAACTTTTCACTCAGAAAGATGAAAAAGTAAGTCATCAGAGTGTTCATATTCAAATATCTTAAAATTACACGAAACGAACGAGAATCAGCGAGATTTTAAAGCTATATAGAAACTCCTTTAATATCAGATATTTGCTTCATATATACCGAAAGTGTAGGTGAAGAACTAGCAGCACTGTAATTAAAATTTTAATATGACTCTTCAATCTCCTAAAATTAAATTAAATTGTATTTCTATTCCATGGGATCAGTTATGCATACTTGTATTATGTAAATAGGCTTAAAAGTCATTTATCGAATAAAATAATGTAAATTACAATACTTTCAGCTCATAATTAACACAGGGTTCTCACTAGGCTTTTAGACTCTGCAATTTCTCCAGAGTATAATGTCTTTGGACCCTCTTGCTACAGAGTCTAATAGCCTATCCAGAGTCTATAGTGTTTTCTCCGGAGTCTAATTTTAGATTTTTGTCACATTATTTGTGGTAAAACTATTGAGAAAATACATAAAATTGGATACAAACAAAGAAAAGGAAGTCAGAAACCTTTCAGAAATATATATTGCGATTAAAATAGGAAGATAATCTTAAGTTGTGTTTTGAAAAGTATACTTAATAGGTTATCTCACACGGGGGAGTAGGTCGTGGCATCGCGAAAAATCCGGGGTCTAAAAATTTCCTGGTGAGAACCCTGTAACATTACAATATCTTTATGATCTAATATCTAACAATTGGTCATTTCAGTTTATTGCATTCACCGGTGACAGCAAACTGTTTAAAAGTATTATTTTGAAATATTTCGCCCCCCTCCCCCCCCCATTTCCTTTTTACCCTAGATTCCCATATGTAGCCTTGGCCAAGGCTGTGTCTTTTTATTCTTCTAATTTTATTTTCACAGATAAATAAAAAGATACTGCAGACTTGGGCAAGGCTATCCCAGATGCAGTGATCACTTTTAGCTGATCTTAGTGGAGCCTCCATTGGATAAGTTCTACTCTTTCGATCAACTATAGATAACATGACATGGGAAGCTTCATCTGAGAAAATAATTGTTTTTCATACATATTTTATACGAACAGAGAAATGTACTTTTGATAAAAGTACATGGGATCATGACAAATTCAGATAAAACTGATATATGTTACATTTAGATAAACATTATCGTTCTTGTACAAACGATCACATATTGATCACTTTGCTAGGTTAAGACACACTTGCATAGCGACTAAGTAAATGGTCATTGACTTGTATCAAAGATCAAAAAATTTCAAAACAACAGCAATGCGAGGGTGTAGCAAATGCAATCGAGTATGGTTTGCCATAATCGAGTGTCTAGTTAAGCAGCATGATATATATCCAAGAGAACTGGTATAGGGACAAACGATAATGTGTCATTTCTCTCGGGCATCAAAATTACAACAAATCCCTAAACACATAAATATGGCCAACTTTTTTTAAATGGCTCTAAACATTAGGCATTTCCAAAGAGACTATGTGTGCTTAAATTATTATAAAAATAAATGAATAAAATAAATAACACTGGCTTTATAAGAGCGAACGCCAATACACAAGCTGTTGAATCCTAATATGGAATAATAAATCATTGTTATATTTTATATTACTTGACTCCCTCAAGACTCATTTACTGGCAGTAGATTCTTCAATTCATCACAGGTCTTACATCAAACAAGTTGATATATGGTATACAAAACGATAACAATTATTCATTTTAATTATTTTCATAAAGCACCATTAAAATACTCATAAAAGTCTTACCTCAAGATGATCAGATAGTATACAAGTAGACTGAGTTCAAAATTGCTATGTTCTCTAGTAACTGCAATAGTAGCACGCTAAACTTGTCGCTGTCTCATTAGAAAACAATTATTCTCTTCCAGAGGCTCTTAGTTCCAGGCAGGGAAGGACCACGATCATTATCCTATAATTTAGACAAAATGTGTATAACAAAAAAAACTGTGTTGTTCCAATGCAGTGTTCTCCAATATCCCCTTTATACTTTAATGGTAGTGTCTCTATTTTATTGGAAAACAATTTATCCTATACAACAGTCCTTAGTTCCAGAGAGGCATCATTATCCTATAATTTAGGCAAAGATGCGTTCTAAAAAAATCCTTACCTTAAATATCAATGACTGTTGTGTTCCGAAATACTATGTTCTCCAATATCCACTTTAGAAACATACTATAGTAGTAGTGTCTCTATTTTATTGGAAAACAATTCATCCTATACCAGTCCTTAGTTCCAGAGAGGCATCATTATCCTATAATTTAATACACTCTCTAATGATAACTTATCAATGTCTTCATAAGGCTGAAATATGTTCTATATCAACTTAGGGCTGGATCATTAAAATCCCAGTCACATTTGCTCTGCGAGGGGCGTACGGCGTCCGTATGGTGGCCGTAGCTTCACAAAATCGATATAGCAAATCGACATCGTACTGCTTATCCCTATATTTTTTGCTGCACATTTCTCTCGATTTTGGTAAACTACGGCCAACGTACTGTTGCCTTGCCGTAGATCAAATGTGACTGAGGCATAAATATTGGATCTCACCGATTATAGTATCAACAAGCTTCAGAATATGGTTATAACAACAACTACAAGATACTGCTCTTTTCAATAATTTGATTTTTTTTCTTTAAAATGTTCCTCTCAAAATAAGAGATGATCTCTTGATCTGCTGATCTTATTCAATCAGATTTGATCAAAGTTCAACTGTATAATCAAAATTATAGTCACAGAACTCTTGCCTTCAAAATTAGCTCGCATTTTTATACTCCAACACCCATATCAAATACAATTTTTTTATGGAAAGTGATGGTCATTCTGATGTGAGCGGTTATATTGGGAATTTCTTTTTTAGAAGAGGTCCTCAATTGCCAATGAGACATCAGCTTGTATTTTAGTTATTTTAGATGGACAGAGGAACCCCGGGGAGAACAGATAGCCAGGTTCTTCAGTGATCTTCTCTTCCTCTATGAAGGATAATCATATTATGTGATATACAAATGGGATTACGAACGTGTGCACTTTTTGCAATATTCCATTGTTCAGAGGAATTTTTGCACTAGTTTGGAATCCAGGCCCGTAGCCAGGGGGGGTTCGGGGGGTTCGGGCGAACCCCCCCTGGCCAAAATTTCTTTCAAAATCATGCAGTTTTTCACCATTCTGACTATTTTTTGAGTGATTTTTGGCCAAATTTGCCAAAGTGAACCCCCCCCCCTAGAATTTTTGGGAAAAGTGAACCCCCCCCTGGAAAATTCTGGCTACGGGCATGGAATCTCCATGAAACTTGGTGACATAATATGATTAGGAGGCAGCTGCATGAGCCCAGTCACGTTCAACAAATAAAATCTTAATGCTCTAAGATTCTAGGAGAGCTCAAATCACATAAAATCTTACATATCTGATAGATATTATCTATTTGCCCATTTTGACAAAAATACCGTCTACTTGAGCCCGGCCTCCTTTCGCACATCGTAGTTACTAATGACCCTATCCATAGCATATACACATAGTCTTATATTCTATATCAAAATAAAGCTTATTCAATTCAAGATTTCATAACTTCATATTGCTGTGATTGATCATTGGCAACTTAATTTGTGAAATATGGCTCACGTATGCCAAATGATAAATGGGTACAAAAACAGATGAGCTTATTAAACAAAGTTGTCCCAATGAGACCAGAATGGAAGAAACCTTCATATCAATGATATAACAAATATGGGGTATGTTATCTGGACTCAGCAATTGCTGGAGGGACAGTAATCACGAAACAGCCTGTGTACTATTATCACGGAATTGGGTTATCTTAAATTATCAACTCTGGAGAATGAGATTTTTCACAAGAAGGAAAATAGAGTGTTTTATTTAAATTAGTTAAGATTGCAATCTGTTAGGATTTCCTTTTTACGATTTCATCATCCTAAGCCTATAAGCCACTTGCCCTAAAACATTCAAAGTAGTAATCCTCATGATAAAACAATTGCAGAATGATTCGATCCTTTGGGAGTTCCGTCATGTCACACTGATATCCAATTTACAATTGATCACAGGAATGTAACAGGAAAATACAATTTAGCTTCTACTTATACATAACTACTATGGCTTTAAGTAAGCCTTTGATCGTATTTGTTCTTCATCAACTGTTTTGACTCACTGATTATATTCATGTTTCTAGGCTTAATAGCTATTAACATGATTAAATGTTGTCATAAGAAGAGATCTCAGAATCATTTGAGTCTATTTTAAAATACGGTACAAGTATCCATAAGGTTGCCATGACAACTACACAATCAATATTTAGGATATGCATACAAATAGACATGACACCTTAGTTTACGTACTGTCGTGTGTATTCGTTGATGAATCTAGATATGTTCGAATTAGCCAATTTTATTGATCACAATACTTTTTTGATATTGTATCTGTAATGCAAAATTCAAAATAAAGAAAACGAGATTGGATGCCATGCTAGTCAGTCGGTCCAATGCTCTCAGAACGCCCTACGGGTTAATTGTCTTATCTACTAGCAAGTTTTTAATGAAAAGAAAATCAGCGAAAATACATGAAATACATTTAATTTTGTCGAGAGTCAAAATAAAATTTAAAAAAACGTGGTAGGTTTTATTCTGATACTCATTGCATCTTTCTGTTTCACAGACAAATGCCCGTGGCATTGCATGGCTGAGTTTAATTGAGATGTCATCTGTAATCATCTGGGAAGGTCTTCAAAGGACGTCACCTATCGCTGACATCAAGAACAACATTGGACCTGGAAACTACTAGGCGCAAGAATTCACTCAGAGGTCCATTTTTCTCAAATATTGACAAGAATTCAGCCCATAGGCCGATAGGCCAAAAATGAAAGAATCGAAATAGGACAATAAAGTTCAACATATTCATATGATTTCAAATATCCTCGATGAAAGTCACAAACCATCCAATAAAGCTCACTCATGACGTATCAGGTCACATACAATTATCATTCTCACAAATATTTGTGTGCAGTACAGTATATATGTGACAGCTCGATTTTAAAAATATGATTGACAATATACCAAAACTAGCTGCTTTAGCATTGGATTGGACATGAACAATTAATTATATATTTCTTTAAAATATAATTCAAAATTTCAGTCTTTTGTGTTAGAAATATTTCATCAAAACAAAATGTTTCAAACTTCATTTCTACTTTACATAATTTAAAGGTTTAATAATGATTAATAGAGGGCAGCAAAATCAACATAAAGTAAAAATTCATTCAAAAGTGCAGATTGATGTATTATGTTTCATTTATCAAATCATAGATGGCATCCATATATTTTTATCATGTCAGTCTCTGGAACATATAAATGTACTCAGTCAGTTTTTTATACATCTTGACTCAAATAATATATAAGAAGATAAAAATTTGATTTCAATTAACTAAATTGTTCTTATACTACACTGTTTAATGTATGATCAAGGGAATTTCAAATGTACTTCTGCATGATTTGAACTTGGAGGTGTCAACACCTTGGGGAAAATACATTTTGACCTTCAGTGAATTGTTTAAATGAGACAATTAAACTCATTAAATATCTTCATTTGGTGTATTGTCTGAAGAGAGACAGAATTAATTAATTTCATAATTTAAATAAAATGGACCATCAACAGAACATCATTTACATAGAAATGTATGTAGCTTTGAAAATCTTACAACGGATAAATCTTACAACAGGGTTAATAGCCTTGCCCAAGTCGGTCTCTTTTACTATCAGATAGGTAAAAAATACCGACTTGGGCAAGGCTACATGGTTAACTGATTTGACTTTTTTACAACAGTATAATTTTTCCATTTAGTAATTTAGGTGAGCTTCCTCATCACTCTGGGGGTGGGTGGCAAGGGCAAAATTTTGAAAGATTTGAGAACAAGAAAAAGGGAATGCAGTAAAATCTGTGTACATTGAACATTATTTTGCCAAGAAAAAATGTTCAGCTTTGGTTGGTGTTCACTACAGAGAGAGTAACCTATACAGAAGTCAGTAGAGTATGTGCGGAGGAAGGGTGCCCACTAGAGACAGGTGTTCACTAGAGAGAGGTTTTCACTGTTTTACAGGTATATTAAATAAACCACATATTTCGGGTGCCTAGAAATGACTGCTCTTCTCAGAAAATAAAAGTGTGTCCAGACAATAAAATCTGACAAATATGTCCAACAGCTCATATAGTTTTAAGATGTGAAATCCTAGCCGTCTAGGCCTGGAGGTGGTGACAGAATCATTTAATCTAAAAACAATATTTGCCCTGTTTGTTTGGAAAAGAATATGAGCCTTATTTTGCAAGTGATTTGATACTACCCCTCAAGGCTTATTGAAAATGAGAAGAACATTTTAATGATCACATCAAAAATGATATCAAAATAAAGCTGATGTTAATACCTAAAGTGCATCATTAAATACAAGGACCTGAAAATGACCACGGAACCATTTTCGAAACAAAGGACTGTGCTAAGAACCATTTTCTGAATGCAGGCCACTGTTAAGAGCCATTTCTTCAATCATAGCTCAACTAAAAACCCTTTTCTCAGCTTAGAACCCTTTTCTACTGAATACAGGGCTCTGCTCAGATCCTGGTTCTACATCCCAAGGCTCCTCTAAAACAAATTCTTAAAAACAGGGCATTTCTAAAGACCATTTCTTAATGTGGGAGGAACTGCTAATAATAAGGCATTATAATTAGACATATAATTTTGATCTTGCTGAATACAATTCCAAAGCCATGAAAATGAGCCTCTATTGAGAGTCAAGAAGACCATTGTAAATGCCCACTAATTTTTGAGCAATTTGATACTGTAACTGAGCAGGAATTTCCATTGTTCTAAAGTTAATCTGCTAATCTTTTATAAAATTACTGCTGTAGGGTGGAAAATGAATTAAATGATAAAATTACAATCTAAACATTAACATCCACCCAGGAAATCAGTTGAGTACATTGAATACAGTGCATCACATACCCTGAAATCACATCAATTCACCACATAATCCTCTGAAGATAACAAATGATTTTAAAGATTTGACACTGATAAGCCTTAAACAATCTTGCCAATCTCAGATGTTAGCTTTAATTAATGGCCTTAAATGGGAGTTTGAATATAAAACTAAAAGTGGTGTATCCTAACTGGATAGAAGCTCTGATCAGAGAATGATCTCGAACTTGAAGAGGGCAGACATAGCTATAATAGTCTAGCTCTAGTAAAGGGGTTGTATCTAGTGTGTATCCCTAGCCTCTGGTATACAGTTTATCAACATGATCTCAAAACATAGGAAAACAATCATTTCATTGCACATCTTGAAGAAGAAGTATGAAGTGAAAAGCATTCTGATATCATTATTATTCATAATAATCAAGTACATTATAGCCCCCACCCACCTCACATTCACACACATATCCATCAAAGTGACATATAAGGAAAGATTCATGAAAATTGAATTGAATGTATGAAAATTCAAGGACCTCCAGAAATTTCAAATCCCCCACCTCCTCTCCCCACACTTAAATGGCTCTTTTCTGAATAAATCATTTATTGCAGCTGAAATGTCTGTACAAGGCTAAAATCATAAATTCTAGAAATGTTCACCATACAACTATTAGTAGCAGCTATGGGTTATTCTGACATCTAGTAACAACAACAACCAACTGTCAGTAAGTACAATAAACTGTTTCAATAATAATCATCTTCTATTGTTCGAAACATATCATTTACACTTACACTTTACAACACAATTATCTTCTAGCATTGGAGGAAATTGACACTGTTATAGTTAAAGTAATGGAATACAAGGCATAAACATGGAAAATATCACAATCTACCATTTGTTTCAGATGCCAAACACCAACTGCCAAACACCAACCATCGAACACCATCCACAAAAAGTTGGAAGATTGAAAATAAATGGACATTCGGTTTCTTCAGCAGGAGACAAGTCCTTTCAAATAAATGTTGGACCTCGACTTCTTTTTAAAATATAGTCTATCTTGGCTAGATCGGCTCTATCATTATATTAATATCATGTGTCGATAAATATTAAAATTAATTACCATATATTATCTTTTCATCAAATTGAATTCCAATGTGTATTTTAACAGAGGTGTTCTTCTGGGACTAGACGATACATGTACTTGTCCAGACCCAGTAACATGTTCTTGCACAAGTTGAGGCCTTTAGGTATCATCCCCATTAATTATATTCCAAAATTTTGACACTCCAGAATTTTTTGGTGTCATCTTCTCTGTAAATAAAACAAGGCATTAACATGCAAAATGTCTCCACTTGCCATTTGTTACAGATGCGGATTGCCGAACTCCAACTGCCAAACACTCCAGCCATCAACTGCCAAACACTGTCCACAAAAAAGTTTGAGACTATAACCATAGCTTTTGGAGGTGACATAAAAACAACATATGTGCAGACATCAACTGCACCAACCATCGAACACCAACCAACAAACACATATACAGATGCACATGTATATATCTATTAACTGTACATTCATTTTTCAATGTCAAGTGTATATCTCAAACTAGAGATAATCATCTCACTTACAAAAGAATGACAAACAATCAAACAAAATACAAAGATCAACCTTTGTCAAAAGATAAGACTTCATAGCTGAAGAATTCTTTTCAAAATGAGTTCAATAAAAAATTTAATAACAAAAAAAATCACTATGAGAACGTAGTTATACTATGTGCTTCTACACAAAGACAGGAGACAGTGTTTATTCCAGTATCTATGTGAAAAGCAAAGTAAAAATGCATCACCAATAAAATATCCATATACAGATGAGCTGAAAGTACAGTAAAAGTGTGGTAATACCAACTGACTTGTTGATGATTTCTCTCTTGTTGGAATGAAGATTGCCATGTACATGTGCATCAAATAAAGTAACATCTTCAGATTGGAGAGCTTTCTGGAAATCAAAGGCAAATCAAAAGTAAGTACATGTAACTCACTCTTATATTAATGGCAAATTTTATCATGGAGGGGGGTTGAAAATTATTTTTGGGGAGAGGCTGAAGTGTTAAAAGTTCAAAGTAGGCCGGCCTTTTCCCTTGGTGATTGAATATAATATGTTAATTATAATATGTTTTATGTTGCTCTTGGTGCTTTCTCATTTATATTGTTTGAGGGACTACATTACATGCATCGCATTGTAAAATACATGTACAGTAAAACTTGTCTAATCCAAACACCTCTGGGACTGTCTAAAAGTGTTCGAATTAGCAGGTGTTTTTTCAAGGTTTTATAAACATGCAAGTCGATGGGAGATATCTGTTTCTGGGACCGAGAAAAGTGTTCACATCGAGGGATGTTCGAATTAGAGAGGTGTTTGGATATGCGGGTTCACAGTATACTCCTCTTTGTGCTGACGATATAAACATGACTGCCAGTCCATAATGGTTGTAACTCAAATAGGCCTAACCCTGAATCCTGTTTTTTATTTCATGTTTCACCTGTGTTTAATGGTTTAGAAAATCTAGCAAAAAAAGTTATTTTTAGTCTGTTTTATTGATGGGTATGTCTGCAATATTACCCAACCAAAAATATCCTCCTTCAATTAGATTTTATGTGGTTAGGTAAATCTCTTTAAACCTGTATTTATTGTAACATATACCTCAGGTTAAAATTGAACATGAAGCTATTAAGGTTTATCTTGCAACCCATCACATCTTTGTGTTTGAAAGACTGACATGAAATAACATGTTGAGGTGTATAATGATGATTAAAGTATGTTACTGAAAAGTTTTTTGGGTTAACTGTTTGTATTGAAGGAGAGTTGACTTGATCATTATCATTATCACAAATTTTTTACAGTTTTGATGTTTACAAGTAGAAGGGATCTTAAGAAAGCAGAAAGTTTCGCAAAAATATCACAATATTTCAGAAAATCCTTTCATCATTCAAAAGTTGAACAATCTGACTTTATTCCAGGATAATCCTTACATTTTTTTCAAAAATCTCTAAAATCACTTTTTAAGTCCTGACAAAAAATATTTTCAAACTTTAAACGGGGACTTTAAGAATAACTAGCAAAAATGGGATGTCCCCTCTTTTTAATCCTAGTGAAATTCCCTCATCTTAAATCTTCAATAACTTCTAGTATTTGATTAGATATACAAATTCCTACATAAAAATAAATAAAATTGGGATTTTAAGGGAACATTCGCAATTCACATGCTTTTGGAATTGATTGTTTCAAACAATTAACACTCATTCTTCTTCATTTCATGATCTCAATTGTGCCTTAATTTCCTTTAACACTGTAGTTTGAATGTGAAATGAATGTCAGCTCTTTACAGACAAAAATTGACTATGGTACAATTCATATTCTGAAACATTATAGGTTGGATCAAATACTTATTTCTAATCTAACAAGTATACACAAAATCCAGATCTTGGGAAGGGTAAATAAAAACATGCTAAAACATGCCATGGTAAATTAATCCATCAAAGCCTTACATTGAACATATCTGCAAACACAAGGTAAACTAGGGACAGATATTTACCAGGAGATATATGTCATATCCTGTCTTACTTCATTAACTCCATTCTTATTTTTCAAAACAGTACATCAGGTGACAGACAACATGCCCTGGATTTTTATGTGCCATTCTGTCTCACTTATTGTACTTAAATGACCCTAAAATAACATTTCAAAATTACATGCATTAATATTTGGCATATTTTGCTTCAGTAAATTAGCTTAAATTATATTAGGTCAATTAAATACTGAAATAGTTTGAAACTACAGTGGAAACAGAATAGAACTGATGTTAACTTACAAATATCAGATTATACAATTTCAAAACAAAGATAAGAAGTACATTGTACATTTAAAGGGAGGGAACACTGACAATGACCTCATCTCAGATAAATTCAAACTCAACATGATGCCATGTCTTTTGACTTAAATCAACAATCTAGAACAAAACATACAAGTCACATAACCTCAAAGTCCCCAGGAACCCATACCAAGTACCCATTTCATGTCTTTTGAAATACAGACTACAAGATACAGGAACTCCTACCCTTGTGCTCAATGGTTTAAACACAGTACCCTCTGACTAGAATTGATCGATTTAAACTTTGTAGTTAACCAATGAGAGAGCGTCAAAGATTTAATCAACAGGACAATCATTTCTCTGGACAATCATGGAATCGGAATGACCATTTCTGATTTGATTGGAGTTTAGAGATTGATCATTATACTTAGGTGTGAGATGAACTTTCTCCTAGAATTGATCGACTTAAAATTTGCTGTTAACCACAGCGCCAAAGATTTAAGCAACATAAGAAGTACATTAGGGAGGGAACACTGACAATGACCTCATCTCAGATCTCAGACCTCATCTACAGAGTAATGGAATCAGGAACGCCCTATTCTGATTGATTTTGGAATTTAGAGATTTAAAATTAAACTTGAGAGTGTGAGATGAACTTTTTTCTCACTCTTAAAAAGGGTAAAACCTGACAACAATGAGTCATTCTTACCTCAGTGTTTACATTTTGAGGTGACTGAGCCCCTCCAGAGCTCCAGTTAATTTGAATTTGATTGAATTATTGTCCAGAGTTAATTAGATGAGTGATGTTTTATATTGGGGCAGCCTGGCACTACACCAGGTCAGAATAGGCTTAGAATCACTTCCTATTTTCACAACAAATAAATTCATTTTTGAAATAGAAGAATACAATATGCAAAACAAGGCATTAACATGAAAAATGTCACCACCTGATATATGTTACAGACATCAAACACTTAATGCCAAACACCAGCCACCAAATGCCAAATATAAACTGCCAAGCACCATCCATGAAAAGTTGTCACAATTTGTGGTGGTGACATTATAAAAAGGGTATGTAAATTGTAGAAATCATACGATCCATATTACTTTTTTGTAGCCTAAAATGGGCCTTTTGATAATCTTCAAAAATTTATAACAAGGAATACAATACAAAAATGTTAAAAATTATGGGCAGATTATCTTTCAAATAGTCTTTTAAGTGAAACTATGAATATGAAATCCAACAATAGCTATGGTATTGGATGACATTTTTACTAAAAGTTCCTTCACCAATTTTATTTTTTGTCACCATTTTTTAGAATCTGGCTATAATATGTACATACCTGAAAATGCTCAATAGACATTAGAATCTCAAATATACAAAATGTTGAGGTACACATCTAAGAATTATAAAAATCAACAATCCATGACAATTACTCAAACAAGGTATTAACATGCTAAATTTCACCACCTACCATTTGTTTCAGACAATACTCATGGTCAATTTATCTCTGTAATTGATTTAATTGATAAGTACATTTTTGGAAAGTAGGAAAAACTTTCTGTAGTCATTATCCCAAAGTCTCTCTATTCTAATAAATAGTAGAGACTGTGAATTCCACAATGTCTAGGCACTCTTTTTCCAAACATTTATTATGAAAAATGTGAAGCATATAACCTAAACAACCAATATGCTTTTCATTTAGCAACCATTGTTGGATCATGTGGTTTGACAACTGTTGGTTATTTCTCTATGTCTATCAATATGTCATCTTTATAATAGAAACAAAGCCACATCACATAAAACCACTGGTCTGCTGTTGGTGTCAATCTGTGTCATCAAAATTTTCAAAATTTAATATTTCTAAGCTTGAAAGAGATCTTGGTGGAATTTACTAAAGTGTTAATGACACAATAAAGTGGAACAGAACAGAGAAGAGAAAGTATATTTTAAAAAGTACTAGAATTGAAAAGGATATAAATGTACATGTATATCAAAATTATAATGTCAGATTATTTGCCCCTTTAAATCTTTGAAACTTTCATGAGGAATTCAGTAATTTTTTTGAATATTTCTTTCTAAAGCAAGTATCTAATAGGTGGAGACATAGCCAATGAACACCTCTTTCTCTAGGGAGTACTTCATCATTGAATGAACATATTCAATTATTTAGCACTTTATTCTGACTGTGCCTTAAATTGGAAATATTCTACTATGGCTTTGGAACAACAACTCCTGAGTTTCTAAGTCTAGTCAAGGGAAAGATCAATACCCGGTGATTTCAGCGGGAAGTGGCGTTTCGTTCATTGGATGAGCTGCGCGCGCACGCATAAATGTGATTATCCAATATAATTAGGGGAGGGCTATTTGAAGTAGTTTTTGGTCTCAGGCGCGACCCAGGGCTGTTGTCTTAAGGACATTTCGTTGAAAATCAGCCATTCGGCTGATAATTGGTAAGAGTTTGCGATCTTATAATGTATAACTGTTACTCAGACACATATTTTGACACGATTCTGTTGGAAATAAGCTTTGAACCGAGAGATATTCACGATTGATATGCACATTTTTGATTGTGCCATTGCTTTTCTATTGCACAACCCATGTATTGATAGAAGAAACATTAATAATACAGATTGGTTTACCTTCAATACATGGCAGACACTACATATCGGTCTATTAATACCAGTTTGTGCCTTAAATAGTTTTATATTTCCATCCACGGCCTGGAGCCTGGGTGTGTTTGTCTCTTATGTGTATGCTTGTGCATGGACTTCTAATCACTAGCAGAATTTAGCATGATGCAAACTCGACATTATAACTCATGCTGTAACATTTTGACTTCGCTGGAAAACAATAGGAATTATTTTTCTTGCCAATCAATCATGAATCACAATCAAAATTTCAGAATGATCAATCAGGCAATGATCCGAATCAAGTTATAACATTATATGATATTCAGCAAGAAGTCCGGTAGAAATACAGAATGTTTAAACATCAAAGCTGAAAGTTAAAAGCTAATCTGTCAATTTTCTGTCTGCAAAAGAGCGTCCCAAGAGCGTTTACATTTGACACAATAACAGACTGATGCCTTGAAATCTAGGATTCCCCAGGAAAATATGACGTCATACTAATTAGCATAAGGATTTCCCT